TCATAAAAAGCATATATGTGAGTCTTGTCTTTTTACCCATTTAGTCACTCTATACCTTATGATTGGAGTCCTTGGCCCAATTACATGTAAAGTAGGTCTTGACGGGTATGTACTTATTTGAATTCTGTTAGTTGTTTCCTGCAGTTCATTTTTTGTTCCTTTCGCCTCTCTTGCTCTCTTCCATTTAATTTGATGAATCTTCAATGTTACACTTGCATACTTAAAAGATTTTGGCTTTGTGGATACCATGAGATTTATATATAACAGAATATATATAAACAAGATTATTTTACATTGAAGGTCTCCCACAATATTGACATGATCACTAGTTTTAAAGAGCTGTATTTAGTTTCCAATTGAGCTCGCCTCAAAATTGCAGGCCAGAAGGGACTGGTATGATATATTCACATGCTGACAGGGAAAAGCTTTCAACCTGTGACACTCTATACAGCAAATGTCATTTAGAGTGTAAGAAGAGATGAAGAATTTTTCAGAACAAAAATTAAAAGTGATTTTCAATACTAAACCCTACCCTAGAAGAAATGTTGAAGGATCTTCTCTAAGTGGAAAAGAAGTAAGAATCTATAGGGAAGGGAAAATCCCACTAGGGAAGGCCAAGATACAGTATGGACTCAGGATCAAACCCTTAAATAAGCAAATATATAGATTAAAAGATCAAAATTGTAAAACTAACTATAATCATAATAAATAGTTAAGGCATAAGCATGAAGATAAAAATACTACACTAAGAAAAAATACGGAACAGGGGAGTAAAAAATGTATATCATTCAGATCGTGTTTGAACTTAAATGAAGATTTACTTATCTTCATTTTAAACGAGTAGATATAACCACAGATCAACATATATTAACCCCATGGTAACCACAAATCAAGAACATAGAATAGTCACTAAAAAACGAAAAAGATGGGAAGACAAATATACGACCGACATAAATCATACAATCACAAGGCAAGAAACAAAAAGTGAACTAAGAACTATGAGCACAACTGGAAAATCACTAATCAAGGGGAATGAGTATATGCCTATCAATAATCACTTTATATATCAATGTACTAAATACGCCAATCAAAATACATAGGGTGGCTGATGGGTCTTTTAAAATATCCCTTTAATGTGGTGCCTGCAAGAGACTCAATTCAGGGATGAAGATACACACAGACTTTGAAAAGGAAAATGAAAGAATGGAAAAAGATATTTTACATTAATGGTAAAATAAAAACAGGATGGTAATATTCATATCAGATGAAACATACATAAAGTAAAGGCTGTACAAAAGAGAAATAGGACATTGTATCATGAAATATATCAATACAAAAAGAGAATATTCCACTTGTTGACATTTACGCCCTAAATACAGGAGCACCTAAATATATAAAGCAGATACTACCAGATATAAAGGGGAAAGTTGATAGTAATACAATAATAGTCAGGGAATTTAACACACCACTTACATCAATGGACAGATCATCCAGATAGAGAATCAATAAGGCAACAGTAATCCTTAGTTACGCAGTAAAGCAATTGTACTTAATAGATATCTATGAGACATTACATTCAAAATGAGCAGAATACACATTCTTTTCAAGTGCACATGGAATGTTCTCCAGGATAGATCATGGGCTAGGCCACAAAACACGTCTCACACATTTAAGAGGATACAAATTACATCAAGCATTTTTTCTGATCACAACAGTAAAAGACTAGAAATCAACTATGGAAAGCAAAATGGGAAAAGAGAAAAAAACATGAAAACTAAACAACATACTACTAAGAATCCATAGGATCAATAAAGAAATCAAAATATAAAATAAGAACATATCTTGAGACAAAAGAAAATAAAAACAACTTTCCAAATTCGATGTGATACACAAAAAGAAGTTTGAAGAAGGACATTTACAGCAGTACAGGTTTACCTAAAATGTTTTTAAAAATTCCAAAAAACCAAACTAATGTTCCATCTAAATGAAGTAGAAAGAGAAACACAAAGAAAACTAAAGTTAGCAGGTGGAAGAAATGAAAAAGGTCAGAGGGAAAATACAGACAAAAAAAGGTCAATAAAACTGAGAGCTAGCTTTTTGAGAAGATAAATTAAAGAAGTCTTACCTAGGCTTACAAAGGAAAAATAAAGAGAAACTAAATAAACAACAGGAAAAATGAAAGAAGAGAATTTACAACTGATAATTACAGGGATACAAAAATAGTAATACGATATCATGAATGGTTATATGCCAACAAATGGGACAACTAGAAGAAACGGATAAATTTCTAGAAATATAGATCATCTTCTAAGGCTGAATCAGGAAGAAACAGACAACCTGAACAGACTGTTCACTAGTAGCGAAATCAAATTAATAATTAGAAAATTTTTAAAAACCTAAGTCCGGGACCTGATGGCTTCACACATGAAAAGGTAATACCTTTCCTTCTCAAACTATTCCAAAAAACTGAAGAGGAGGAAACATTCCCAAATTCATTCTATGAAACTACCATTACTTGAAAACAATACCAGAAAAGTCAGTACAGAAAAAATGAGAGACCAATATCTTGATGAATACAGCTGAAAAAGCCCCAACCAAATATTACCAGACAGAATTCAAACAATATATAAAAAGGATGGTAAATGAATATCAAGTGGAACAGTTCCAGAGATTACAGGATGGTTAACAATCCACAATCCAATCAATATGATTAACCACATTAACAAAAGGAAGGATAAAAATCATATGACCATATCAGTAGATGTGGAAAAAGAACCTGACATAATTCAACGGGACAGCTACATGTAAATTAATGAAATTATTTCAACATATTTTCACACCATACACAAAAATTAAATTCAAAATTGGTTATGGCCCCAAATGTAAGGCCAGAAACCATAAAACTCCTGAAAGAAAACATGGGCAGGACACTCTCTGACATAATACATACCAATATATATATTTTTAGATCTTTCTCTACAGGCAAAGGGGAAAAAAAGCAAAAATAAATGGGACCTACTTAAATTTAAAAGTTTTTGCACAGCAAAGGAAACCATTGATAAAATGAAGAGGCAACTTACTGAATTGGAGAAAATGTTTTCAAATGATATCATCGATAAGGGGTTTATATATATCCAAAACACATAAACAGCTCATACAACTCAATATAAAAAACAAACATCCCAATAACAAATGGGTAGAAGAAGTGAATAAACATTTTTCCAAAGAGGATATGCAGATGGCCAACATTCACATGAAAAGATGCTCAACATTGCTATCACCAGAAAAATGCACATCAAAACCACAATGAGATATCACTCCACATCTGTCAGAATACCTAGCATCAAAAAGACCACAAAAAACAAATGTTATTGAGGATGTGCAGAAAGGGAAACCCTTGTAAACTGCTGGTGGGAATGTTAATTGGTGCATCCAATAAGGAAAACAGTATGGAAGTTCCTCACAAAACTAAAAGACAGAACTAACATGTGATGCATATTAACACTCCTGGATATACACCCAAAGAAAATGAAAACGAGAATTCAAAAAGATACATGTACCCCATATTCATAGGAGCATTATTGACAATAGTCAAGTCATGGAAATAACCTAGGCATCCATCAACAAATGAATGGATAAAAATGTGGTACATATAACAGTGGCACATTACTCAGCCATAAAAGAATGAAATTTGGGTTGGGAGGGTATAGCTCAAGTGGTAGAGCACATGCTTAGCATGCACAAGGTCCTAGGTTCAATTCCCAGCACTGCCGCTAAAAATAAATAAATAAATAAACCTAATTACCTCCCCCCAAACAAAACAAAAAAGAACGAAATGATGCAAAAAAAAAAGAGAGAGAGAGAGAGAGAGAGACAGACCTGGGGGCTGTAGTGCTTAGTGAAATGTCAGACAGAAAGACAAATACTATAAGTTATCACCTATATATGGACTCTGGAAAACAAAACAAAAAGATGAATAAGTAAAACAAACTGACTCACAGATATAGAGTACAAACTAGTGGTTAGCAATGGGGGGAGAAAAGTGGGGAGGGGCAAGTTAGGGTAAAGAGTTAAAACTACACGTTGCTACATATATAAAAAATAAGCCAAAAGCACAGGGAATATAGTCTATTTTATTATAATTTTAAACAAGTAAAATCTATATACGTATTGAATCACTATGTCATACACTCAAAGCTAATATAATATAGTAAATCAATAGAAGCAATAAATAATTTTTAAATTTAAAAGGATGATAATGCAATGTGATAGAGGTGTTAATTATGGCTGCGCTGGCAATTGTATTACTATTTAAATAAAACATAATACCATTTTGAAATTTTAAATTTACACAATGTTTTGTGTCGAATATATTTCAATTTTAAACACTGGCAGAAATATATTTTTGATTTTTTTACTGCTGTACTTCACTTCAATCTAGCCATTTCTACATGAAAATATTAAATGTGCTAATCTCCCAGCAAAACATCATATTTCTAAAAAATACTGCCATCTCTTTAAGGATGTTACTGATAAAACTCATAACTGACTCTCAAATGCCCTACTGAATGAGACTGATTTTATATTCCAGCTCTACACCAGCCTGCACTTTATTCTTGAGGCCAGTACTTTTTTCAGTTTTTTCATGACCAATCCAAAGACTGATCTAATTTCATATATACCTTTATCTATAATTGCATACCTATTTCATTTCTTCTAAATTTATTCTGCTAGATGAAAGCTACACACATGAAGATTTCATTACATGCAGATGGTTTCAAGACCTGGCATTTATTATTGCATAAATTCTGAACTTCTTTACTGCAAGTATTAGAAAAATTCCAATAAAATAATTATTTACAAGATAACTGTATTTCATGACAATACTATTACAATTGTTTATTTTGAAGAAGATGCTCAGCATGTCTTATTTACTATTCTCTTGATATTCAACATTTTAATTAGGATTCAGAGGGTACAAAAAGTAAAGGAATAAATTGGAAGCTGAACATAATGGATATAAAGACAATTTACATATTTCTCATAATACTAGCAGAATTTCTATTCCTAATCCATGCAAAGTAGAGACTGTGTACCATAGAGTCACGGCTCATGAGCAGAAAGGGGCTGAGAGCTGGGAAGCAGGCAACAATGACTGTAGTAATGTTAACAAGGAACAGGTTGGGGTTATCAAAAAAACTCAAAACAACTTGAAATATAGAGGAAAGAGTGGAAAAATAGACAAAGGTGCTAACCAGGAAAAGGATGGTTTTGGTGGCTCTGGACTCAGGGGAGGAGGTAGGGGAGGCATTGGTTCTCTGAATGTGTTGGACCCTCTGCTTATGTCTGTGCAGGGAAAACAATGGAGCCACTGGCCCAGAGCATGAACCCTAAACATTAAATATCAGGGAATAATAACAATACTCCATATAATACATTGCTGACTTTGTCATGAAGAACAGAAGTACAGTATCCATAATCCTTTCTGTTTGTGATGTTTTTGTTGCTCAATTTGCCATGTATGAAGATAGGAAAACTGGTATTTACCAACATTTGTAGGATCCAACACAGGAGAATAGAGGGAACAATGTACTTGGGAGCTTTTACTTTAAGCTCTGCCCACCTCGAGTTCCTGGGACTGATTGTGATCACCTGAAAGACACTCAAGAGGCAGATGCTACCAATGGACACTCCCCTCCTGACTCTGTGAAGGAAGAAAAGAAGTTTGCATCCAGCATCACTGAGGAACTGTTTCCACCCAAATGCTGCCACTGTGTGGGGGAAGCCTTTACAGAGGATGGCCAAGGAGTTGGCTACAATCAGATGCTTAAGCATCAAATCTGTGGACCTTAACCTGTACCCAGTGAAGTAAAGGCTGATATAATGGCAAAGAAGTGACAAATTGCCCAGGATTCCAACCACAGTTTCTGTTAAGATGATCACATCTACTGTCAGATCCCTGCTGTCCATCCTCTCAGACACCAGTCACTGATACTGTGAGTTAGACTGTCCTGCATGGGAACATGAGGTGTGAGCTACATGTATCAAATCAGCTGAATCCAATAGTCTCCACTTAACATTAGTCCCAACTTGGAAACATTCATTTAGTTTTCCTGTTATGAGGTGCTTTCCGAGGGTTGAATGTACAATTTTTAAAGAGCAGTTATATGTAAAGTTAATCACTGAAGCACTACATGTGACCACCTCTTCATTCTTCATCAGTCTAGGACCCACCCACTTCCATTACTTTCATTATACAGAGGATGGTAATGTACAAACAGAGAAGTTAATTACTGTCTAAATCTTCTGATTAATGAGGAGTGAGGACCTGAAACCTTCTGGGCAGTTAAAAATAGTGCAATGAACCATCATGTTCTGCCAAAAGCTACTTAGATTTGTTCAAATACTAATCCAGATCTATAGTTTTGGATATACACTTGCCATTTGATTTCAGACTTATGGTATTTTATAGTTTTTTAAAATCAGATTATCCATTTCTATTATAAAAATAAATTTTATTAGTAAATTTTCTTCTATGTGTTAATATCGGTTAGGAATAAAGCCTAAGATATCCCAATACATGTACATGCGCTGCAGCACTACAGTCCTGCAGGAACCTGCCCCGTGACAAGTTAACATGATGAAGGGGAAAATGGCTTGATATGAGGATGGCATCATGAAGATTCTTTTTCTTTCATGTCAGAAATCCATGGATAATGGCACCTATCCCAGAAATTACTGAATGAGCACATGTAGGGACAAAAACTTCTGCACATGAATCAATAATATAAAACAAAAGACTGTAAGGCAAAACATAATTACTACTGTTTTCAATGATATGCTTATCTATTTGGCATTGTTAATGCCAGAGTTAATTAAAAATATTAACAATGAATTAAGACTTGTGAATGAGATTAGTATACAAAACATATGCAATTTAGCATTTACAAGGCATGTATGCTTCTGCAGTTTATAATTGAAATACGAGATTTATGAATTGATGTCAGAAAGAACACAGGTAGAGACAAAACAATATGCAACAGACAGCTACTGAAACAAAATTATCATGTCAATTCTCCATTACATTTAAGAGTGATGATAACTTCACTATAATCAACACACTACAGAGTTTTCCAGTGGAGACACAGTTACTATCTGACTAATTGCATTATACACTCAGAGGTAGAGAACACTTTTCTATTCAAGCCATTACAATTTGGATACACAAACTGCACAGGATTAGATGGCTTATGCACATTTACCATATTCTTTATAGAAAACCTGGAGATATTATTGGTACATGTCTAGTAATCCTAAACATTGAGTCTATGATTCCTATAAAGTAGACTGAACAGCAGATTGATTTTACAACTACACATCTAAACACCTTAAAAATCAGGTTTCATAATCACATGGATTTGGCCACAATAATCACTGTCAGTGAGGATTACATTAAGTTGCAGAAGGGGCCACCAGGAGTTGGTGTAGGATTTAACACCCCATCTCTCTTTATTAGCTGAGCTCATGCCTCTGAATTATTCTACTTTCCTGTACGGCATTGGCACTGAGATCAGGTTACTACACAGAAGATGATCTTTTTCTGATATTATCACTTAGCCAGACTCTTCATCTGCCTTTTTTTTTTTACAGACTCTGTCACTTACAATGAAATAGAACATACTTACCTGACACCTCCCTGCTGCCAGCATAGTGGCTTCAGGGTTATGGTCACTATAGCTAGTTTGTATATAGGAGGGAGACAGCCAGACCCTAATATACAGGGTTGTGAGTCTGTATCCTGATCTCCCCTCCCCTCAGAAATGCAATTATCTTTTCACCTGTAGGAGCACTGGGAGTGTAGTCTTGGGATCTGAGAACATTTCTGAAAACCTTTCTCTCAGTTCTTAATTATGAAAATAATTACAAGTTTCTAGTTAGCACCCCTTAGGAGATGAAAGGAGTTTTTTCAAGATCCTTTTCTTTTCCACGATCCCTGAGGGGCAGAAAGGGTCTCACAGGGAGGAGAGTAGGAAATGCTGAAATCACAATCATAAAGGACTGGCATAAAGTCTCTCTTCTCTTCTAGATTCTTCACTTTCCTGTGGTATTTCTCTACCCTAAAACTAGTAGTTTCCTAATCCTCAGATGACTGAACTGAACCATGAATTAAAGTATTGGTAGAGAAATGGAATGAGACAAAACACCTGGAAGTATATTCAAAGAGATAAAAGTAAAAGAAGAACATGAAGAACTCATTGTAGAAATCATATGCACAAATCAAATCAATTAAGTTAGAATCAGTTACATAAGTCAATGCTAACTATTTGGAAATATTGTAGGAAAACATATTTGTTAATATTGAGCCCCTTTAGTGATTAGAATTAGATGCAGATCAAATACATAGGAAAATAAGAGAAGGTTCAAAAAGAGTCTCACAAAATAAAAGGACTCTGATGGCTTGATATATTCTAACATTCTTGCAGATCTCAGGTGAACCATTTTCCATTAATTAATTCAGGAATATGAAATCTGAAGACTAAACAACATGCTGCTAAAACACCAATGGCTCTATCACAAATCAAAAGAAAATCAGAAAATACATGAAAACAAATAAAAATAAAAACAAAAATATTCAAAATTGACAGAATACATTAAAAGCAATTCTAAGAGGGAAATTGCTAGTGATAAGAGCCCATCTCATGAAACAAGACATATCTTAAATGAACAACCTAAACTACCATCTAAAGGAATTTATAAAGAAGAAAAAACAATGTCAAAGACACCTGACAGATGGAAATTATAAAGATCAAAGAGCAAATTTGCAAAAGTAGAGACCAAAAAAATCAATAGGTCAATGAAACCAACAGTTGGTTTTTTGAAGAGATTAATAAAATTCATAAGCCTTTAGCCAGATACACCAAGAAAAACAGAGAGAGGATCCAAATAAATAATGCAAGAAAGAAAGAGGAGAAATGACAACACATATTCCAGAAACACATCATAAGAGAATACTATAAACTGTTACATGGCAATGTACTGGACAATCGAGAAGAAATGGCTGCATTTCTAGACACATACATTTTAAGACTGATTTAAGAAGAAACAGACAATGTGAACAGACATATCTCTAGCAGTGAAATTGAATTTGTAATTTAAAAAATCCCAGCAAACAAAAGTCCAGGAGCAACAGATTGACAGGGGAAATCTACAAAACACAAAGAAGGGCTCCCACCTATGTTAAACTCTTTTGTAAAACTGAAGAGGATGAAACACTCCCAAATTCATTCTAGTATACTACTTGTATCCTGATTCCAAAACCAGGTACAGTGCAAAAACCAAAAAAAATTGCAGGCCAATATCTCTGAGGAGAATACATGCTAAAATACTAAATAACATACTAGCTAGCTTATTTCAACAATTTGTAAAGAGGATTACAAACCATGATCAATTGGGATTTATTCCAGGGATACAAGGATGGTTCAATATCCACAAATAAATCAATGTGATACAAAACATTTAATAAAAGAAAATATTAAAATCACATGATCACCTTTATAGATGGAAAATTTTTGACAAAACTCAACATCTTCTTGATAAAAACTCTCATCAAATTGGATATAGAGGTGACATATCTCAACATAAAAAAGGCCATTGATGACCAACCCACAGCTAACATCAAACTCAATGGGAAAAAGTTAAAATCTTTCTTTTAAAATCTGGAACAAGACAGAAATTCCCATCTCCCCAGCTCTGATTAATGCAGCATAAGAAGTCCTTGTCACAGCAATCAGATAAGTGAAATATAAAAGGCATCCAAATTGGAAGGGAACTAGTCAAATGGTCACTATTTGCAGATGATATGACAATATATATAGAAAACCCTGAAGTCTCCACCAGAAAAACTATTAGAACTAATAAATGAATTCAGTAAAGTGGGATACAAGATTTTAGACAAAATCTGCTACTTTTCTATACATTAATAAAGACAACCTATTGAATGGGAGGAAATATTTGCAACTGATATGATCATTAAAGTATTAATATCCAAAACATACAAATAGTTCTTATACCTCAATGTCCAAATAGAACCTACCTCAAAAATGGCAGAAGCCCTGAAAAGACACTTGTTCTGAATAAGACATAGATGGCCAACATGCACATTAAATTATGCCAGCATTACTAAGCAGGAGGGAAAGAAAAACTACAATAAAGATACCACCTCACACCTGACAGAATGTCTATCATCATAAATTCTACAAATATAAATACTGGTAAGGATGTAGAGAAAAGGGAACCCTTGTACACCATGGACGGGAATGTAAACTGGTGTAGCCAGTCTAAGGGTCCCCAAAAAGCTAAAAAAATCGATATGATACAGCATTTTCACTCTTTGATGTACACTCGAAGAAAGCAAAAACATTAATTCAAACAGATGCATACACCCCAATGTTTATAGAAGCATTATTTAGAATTGCCAAGGTATGGAAGCAACCTATATGTCTAACAACACTTGAATGGAAAAAGAGGATGGGGTGTGTGTGTGTGTGTGTGTGTGTATACACACACACACACACACACACACACGCACGTACAGTATATACACAGTGGAATATTACTTACCCAATTTTAATTGAAAAACATTTGACGCAGAACATTACTCAAATTTGATTTGTACACAATGTTGTTACATTTATAGATTTCAATGTGATTGCCATTGTAGTTATATTGGGCACCTCTGTCCCATTACATAAGTATCTTTTTTTGTGGTTGCAATTCAGCTGGTTGTTAAAAACCATCAAGTGAGTGTGAAAATTAAAAGATACGTATTGGGACCTATAGAAGGCAGATTTTTCTGTATTACGTCAAGATGACTTGGCCATGTTGGCAAGAAAGGGGTTTGCAGGTGTACACTCATAACTCTGAAGTGTTGAAATTAGTTTATGGGGGAGCCTTCGTTAAACTTGGAGCACTGCAGGAAGAGCTATCTGAAAGGGAAAGACAGGACTCCATTCTGTTTATGCTGAGTTTTTGACGTGGATTTTGGAAGGCAAAGTGTATATGTCCTCACTTTTAAGAAAGATTTTAATATAGTTCATTCAGTATTTACATTATGAAGCTGATACAAAGTATTAAGGAATTGGTCATTTGAAAGTGAAAACAACTAATTTGATATAATGTAGATATATGCATATACATATATAATCTTGTGCCACAATGAGAAACGTATATTTTAGCTCACATCAGAAA